GCGCCCTCGATGGCATATTGCCCTTGCACAGTGAAATACGGGACCCCAGTGACCAAGCGACGTCGCGCTCGTTCGGCCTCGAGGTCAACTTCCTTTCCTCCTTCATCGCCCGACTCTAAAAATTTCTCAACCTCCCCACGGTCCAATCCCGCCGCCGCCGCAGAATCAACCAACACCTTCCGATCCGTGATATTCTTCTCCTCCTCAAAGTAGGCGCGGAACAACTGCTCAGCGACCCTCGTCTGCAGCCCACCCACCTTTTCCTTGCTTGCGTCCCCGTTAGTCGCTGCCGCACCCCCTCGGGCACCCGCCTCCTTCTCCTTCAAGCCCGCATACCAAAGTACCCGGTGCGAATCACGGGTATTCCCCGTCTTGCCGCCGAACTTGAACGCGATGCCGTCGGTCTCGCCCGCGGCCGCCAGGCGCGAGAAAATCGCCGCGACTCGGCCCTCGCCGAACTTGGAGGCGTAGAGCTCGCGCTTGTCGACGCCGGGATACCCCGGGGAGGCCGGGTTCAGGTAGAAGGCGTGCCAGCTGAGGGTGAAGGTGTCGGATGGGTATATGGCTTTGTGGGCTGTGATGGCCCGGGAGAGACGGCGGTAGCCGACGTAGCACCACTTACAGAGGGTTAGACTTAGGGATTGAGGTGGAATACTGGGTACGTACCGGACAGACGGTGTCGGAGATGATTTGGATGTTGATATTGGTCATGATGTCCGAAGTTGAGGTCAGTAGCAGCGGCAGTGGTCTAAAATGAAGAGAGTGCGTCCTATGAATTATAGCTTTATATTATTCTGGTACTCTGTAACTGAGGTAAGGTAGATATTTGTTTGGCTTTACTTTGAAGATGATTTGTCAGCAGCTTTCCTGCGTGCTCGCGGGTCATATTGATCTATTCTGATTGATTACAAGTATTTGGTTATACTGTTGATCATGAGGGATTCTCTGACCTAATCTAGTGTATATAATATATTCTCATCATCCGTCGTAGCCATTGCAGTCTTGTCGGTCGCACCTTGTCCACTTACTGCTTGACACTGCTGATCTCCGCCCTGACATCATCAGCCAAGAAAGGAAATCCGGGGAACTATAAGGAGACAAAGTCCTACTCCTGCATAAAGGCTACAGCACCCCGCAATGCTAACAAGATGTCTTACAAAGATGCTACCGACATCCATGCGCTTATCCCTTGCCATATGTTGGAATACCATTGTCCGGTCGACGTCCTGGATTAATCCACGGTTCAGTTGCGCCGTGTCCTCTTGAGCAAAAGCTCGCTGAAGTGTTCAGTCTTACCCATTTTACATTCTGTGCTGGATTGGCACATGTCCTCCTCCCACCATCGGTTGGTTTAAAACAGCTCACCACAGCTGAAGTCCTCGGGAGCATCATCTACAAATATCGCGGAGCCCTCCAGAAGGTAGTGATAAGAAGCCTTCATTGCCGACTATACGCCAGAACAGCTGGCCAAGACTGCCGCTTACACCAAAGAGAAGAACAATGTCAAGCAGAGACAGACAGCAGTGGCTGTAAAACTACACTGTTATGACATAACGACTGCGAATGGATAAGTGAGCAGAATAAGCTTAAGGAAAGGATGTGATGCGAAGCCCGAATGTTAGACCAACTCATGCTGAGTATTCAACAACATACGGAGTAGAAAGGAAAATATCAGAGCATAGCCATATGACCTTGCATGTCTGCTGTGCCCTTCTTGTAAACATTGCCTTACAACCATTGTCAACTTCACAAATAAGAAGGTACAAAAGAATATAGGCAATTAATCATCACAATCATCGACAACCGCTCGCATATGAACCATGCATATATATATTCGTTCAGTTACTTTTGGATGTACAGCGACTCAATACAGGCTATCACAGTCATACTCGCGTCAAGCATTGTAAAGACGTGCATTTACATTCCTTGTCCACCCTGGTTGACCAAGCGCCAGGTGTCCGGATGTTCCACTGGAGTAAATGAAACGTTGAACATAGGGGGTGTGTCAACGCCGGGCTGCTGCTCCCTGATCCTCTTCATAGTAGCCGAATACTGCTTCATGTCAGTCCCAGTATTCAGATCTCCGAACCGATCAGACTTACCTTGAAGGCGAAATTCAGCACCAAGGCAATCGCCAGACCAATACACACGACAATAGGACCAAATGTGTTGTCCAGATCACGTCCGCTCCGCTGCCGGATTAGCCGGGACCGCTTTTCATACATGTACCATCCCCAAGCGGCGGCGAACAAGGCGAAAAAAGTGTAGACAATGGACAAGGCGCGAGCAATATCGTTGTGTTTGCCCGCAGCATTGTACAAACCGAGAGACAGAGAAGAAAGCAGGATACTGACGTGCAGCCACTTGATAAAGGTTCGTTGGTTGGCAAGATATACCTTGCTCTCCACACGGACAGGGCCCGAATCCTTGATCCAGGTGACGGGTTCACGCACGCCAGGTGGCAGGACAACCGACTGTCGATGCGTGCGGCTGGATCGCGAGATGGGAAAAGACGGGAAGAGTGCGGCCAAGCGGGACGACGTTATCGGCTGCGTTTCTCCCGGAGCACTCTCCTCGGGCAATGTGCGGCCTTCTCCTTCCTGTATGGTAGGCCTGCTCGGCCGTGGTACAGGTTGCGAGGGCTGTCTTGTCCGCGCTGGGGAGCCCAGTTCCGAGAACATGGTAACCGGGGATCCAACCAGTGGGCGCACGGTAGGACTTGCTCGGTTGCCCAGGAAGCTTCCGACGACCATATCATCCTCGGCACGCTTTGCAAGCCGTTCCTGTTCTTCTTTAAAGGCTGTTTCGGGATCGCGTCGGATGTCATTCTCCAGTTCGCTCAACCAGAAGGGGAAGCTATTGACATGGTCCTCAAATAGCTGAGCGACACCGTGGACGAATTTCGAGAAGCGCGGCGCCTCCTTGACAAGATGGGAGACCATGAGCTCGTTGACCCACTCGACATGATGTGCGCTGCCCCGCAGTTTGATCTCCAGCAAAGCGTGTGGGAACCGATTGACCTCGCCGGTTCTGATGCCGTCGAAGGGGTACTGCATTCCGCTATCATCGATATCCCTCCGATGCCAGTCGGTCGGGTCACGACACGGGCGTTCTTCGTCCAGCGCGTCTTCCCTAATGAGCGCAAGGTTGGTGTCGAGGGAAACTCGAATGCGATCATCGCCAGGAATTTGGAATGCAGTGCGGGTGTAATTGGCCCGAAGCATGGGCTGTAGGTTGTTCTCCTTGATGAATGACTGCAGCTCCTCAACATCCTTTTTGAGCGACTCCGCCTCTGCTGATTCGCCGTTATTCAAACCTTCCATTCGATGCAGCTGTTTCTCGAACGTATATTTGCCCTCAAGGAATTCCTGCACATGCTTCTCCTTAAGCTGCACTTTCACCTCTTTGCTATAGTCATCACTGGTCACAATCTTCTTCTCCAGGAAAATGGCGGGCGTGTCCTTGAGATTCCCGGTCCACCGAAGTCTGAGCGACCCGGCTTCGGAAGCTTTGGCTACTTTCTGGTTGTAGAGGTCGAACTGGGGGTTGTCGAAATACAAAGATGTAATTGTGGGGTCCTCAGGAAGCGACTCAAAATCCCTCGAAGACTTAGGGTTGTAAATGAGCACAGGCAATCGGCGAAGAATGTAAGTTTTGACCTCCAGGATGTTATCCTCGTGGACCCAGAACTTGTACGATGAGTACGCATCCTGGCCAAAACGGGGCTCGCCGGCATCCTTGGATTCGACAGCACCCTCACTCAGGATCTGGCGCACAAAGGAATACATCACCGATAACCGATGAACCAGAGGCGAATAGTCCTCGCTGTTGAAAGGGAGCTGCGATAAACGTACTTGCAGCAGCGGCCGTACCCGGTATCGTGCACCGCGCTTGCGGTCATGCTTCTTGGCAGCCTTGAGGAAACCAGTGAAATTGATGCGACTGTACTTCTGGAGCTCGCTGACTTCTTTGGCAATCTGGTCCAACTCATGAAGAACTTCAGAAGCGATGCTCTCCTTCTCCTTGTCGTCCACAGTGGTGGTCTCCTGATCCGCATTGGGTGCCAATGGCAGTAACCTGCTCTCACAGGCAGACGTACGCTCTTTCAGCTGCTGAGATGTCTCAACCTGGAAAGAATGGACCTTGTCAAGCTGCACATTGATCAGTTCCTGGACAAACGCTTCCTCGTCCTGTTCTGTCCATGGAGACTCTTCCGAGTCACTTGCGTCTTCGGTGACATCATGTTCTTTCAAGAGAACCTTCAATTTGTGATAGTCGATGTACTTCCCACTCCAGGGGGGATAAATCGAGTTCTTCAGCGTCTTGCCAAAACGCATGACGAACTGATGGGCTGATTTCAATTAAATCGAGGTCGCGACAGTGGCAATGCTATATTCGGCCCAACTGTATGGGCTTGTTGGGATTATGTTGAAGAAGCGTCTCAACAGACAGCACAAGACATAAAGCGCGTGAATGTGCTGTCAAAGAACAAAGCAGAGGAGACAGAAATCGCTTTAGGGCCTGATGAAAGGAGATTAAACGACTGAATCAACGCTTGAGATCTGGTGGGTGGCCGGCACAGTCTAGCCTTCCAGCTAGTTTCATGAAGCTGTTATCAGGAAGTCCAATGCATGCACGTGCTGCACTAGCCTGGAGCATCCTCAGCCAATCACACCCTGCATGACGTCGAGTTGTCTCATTCTGCGGAAGGAAAAACGCTGCCACCGGTTTGGTAATACCAATACAGCATATTGACTTTTCATGACCGTAAGTTCACATGAAATGGTAACGGAGATACCTGGGTAGATCACTGATGGAGCCGCGGTGATAAGATCAACAGCATTTACAGCATTCCATTCCTGTCGTATGACTCTTCGACTCGCAGTCGACTACGGCAAATCAACGCCATGAGAAGTCCTTTTCGCATGAATATATTGCAATTTACTCTCCTCTATTCTAGATAGCCCATAGCTTACCATTTATGACGGAAAATCCACGAAATGGAGTCCATGAACCCCAAGACAAATCAAGAACCACCATCGCTGCCCAAATCCCTCCACACCGCATTGACTGATCTTCATCGTCGCCCATATCCACATGTTCCCAACCCTCCATCGTGCAAGAAACGTGCTTCAGTAGCTCTGGTCCTCCGAGTACGACCAGCTTATGACCATTGGCCTGATTCGCCTTCCCTGCCCGCTGAGCAAGATCAAGCCGTTTCCACTGAACAACAATTGGAGACATTCTTCTCTCAGTCCTGGGTTCAGCATGGATCACCAGAGGTCCTGTTTATCAAACGGGCATCACGTGTGGGAGACCGCTGGACAGGACATGTTGCGTTCCCTGGAGGGAAGCGTGATCCAGAAGATACAGATGACCGAGCGGTTGCAATTAGAGAGACCTCGGAGGAGGTAGGATTGGATTTGACGACAGATGACTATATTTACATTGGAAATTTGCCAGAGCGGGTAGTAACCACCAGCTGGGGTTCAGTACCGTACGTTGGCAATCTTGATATTGCAATTTCCTTCGATAATGCTTACAACGTTATCCAAGGTTGATGGTCCTCTGTCCTTTCGTCTTTTTGTCGACTCGGAGCGATTCGCCAATACTCAAATTGCAACCAGCAGAGGTCGCTTCATCGCATTGGGTACCTCTCGAAAGTCTTCTATCACCTTCAGCACGAACTGTTGAGTATGTTGACATGTCTCAACGATTCGCAAACCGAGGCGGGCTCATTGCTCGCCTTCTATGTCGGTCCCTGATGGGGTGGATGGAGTTCGCTGCGATTCAGTTGCAACCAAGCGAAAGTTTAAATTGCAATACGACTCCGAACCCGGATACCATTACAAACCAGTCAAGCCCTTCAATCTTCCAAAGATGGAAATCGTGTTGCTCAACCGCCGCCTCCGTTGACTCAACTCGACCCCTGCATCTGTGGGGGCTGTCCTTGGGAATTTTGGCCGACTTCCTTGATATGCTCCCGCCGCATACGGCCGTGCGGTTGTGGAAGTATCCTACTTTTACAAGCCCTGACTTGCGCTTCATAATCAGCATTCTGACGTATCGTCTCCGAAAACGCAATATCCTCCATGTGAGGTCTGGGGCTCGGCAAGTCATAAGTAACACGGCCGTGGACGGCCAAACTGTGGCGTTGCCAGTACTTCAAGAGCCCAATACACAGCACGATTATAACGATGTTGGAATTGGAGGCTTGGGAGTGGGCAGATACTACGGAGCTTCAGACAAAGCTTCCGACGGGAGTACATATGCTGTCGGCATTATGCTCAGAGGCTATTATGAAAAGCTGCGTGTTGCGATTTATGTCTTCCTCGCATGGAGGATTGCCTTGGGCTCCGTGGCGGCAGTCTACGCATGGAGATTCCTTCGAGATCGTCGAATTCGTCGGTGACAAGGTCTCCACCTTTGTACAGAGGCGATCTTGTATAGTATAAATTCCTGGTGATTCGAGAACTGGTACATACTACAGTGTATGTCCGGCCTTTAGGACCGAGTCGAAGAGTCATAAGGAGATTTTGGTCGTATATATGCAACAGATACTTGTACTTGGAAGCTGCCTTACTGGATAGAGCAAGTAGACTGTCACCATTCGGAATTGAACCAGGTGGTATCAACGACCATGGAACGTACTGTTCTGTATATACGTAATACGGTGGTTCACCATACCATCTTTCTCTGGTATCTATGGAGGTGGTGCAAAGGTAATCCTTAGTCATGTGACTATTCTCTAAAATCTCGATCTTTGATTGGCTTAAATTTGTGGGCCCTCAGATTACTTAGTACTAAGGTAAGATTGATTATCCAAACAAACCCGAAGCTCATGCTTATCGTCCCCATTATCAATCACATCGTCAAGAGTAAATCATCGCGACCAATCCAAGAATCAATTCATAATTTGAATCAGAACTTCACTTTCAGAATCTTTTGCGATGGCCGCAACACAGAAGCTCTATCCTCGTGGCACTGTGAAGGGCATTGTGAAAGCACATTCCAACCGAAGCGTGAGCAAGAACGCTGATATTCTGGTAAGCAGCAGGTCAACAGTCACGTTAAAGCTCATTAACTGATTTCTCTCTGTGCCGTTACGCAGATCTTCTTAGATTATATGCTTTTCATGCAAGAGTGAGTCGGCAACTTGCCCTCCCAGCATTTTCCCAAGCATCGGCTGTTACCATCCATGCTGTGTCTTCTACCTCGAGGCACAGCTGAGATACTCGTATGATGGGACAATGTTGACTGGATCCAAAGATTGATGCGCGAAGCTTCGATAAGGTCGCGGAAAGCCGGTGAAAAACATGTCTCACCAAACTCTGTCCGCAAGGTCACAGAGGTGCGTTGTCAATTGAATCGATTCATCGTGCTGTACTGATGGCTAATACTTTTTCTTCCCCCCAGAAAACACTACGGAAATTCAAGGGCTGATCAGTTGAATCGTCTTCCAACCGACTCTCTCCAGCATCGAGTGCATACAATACCCACGGTGGGGATGAGGTTACTCAGCCGCTTGGCTTACAAGGAGACTAACTGAGATCGAGTTCCCTCTTCCGCTACTCTTCTGAATATTGCAAGGGAAAGGAGTACAGGCGTTGTTGTTGTGTTGATTCTTATGATACCCAGGCCGTGCCTTGTGGGCTGAGCTCCACAAACAGATACATGATGGTGCCCTCTGAACAGCTTCATAGTCGCTTCATGAGATAGCCATTGTAATTTATAAATACAAAGATTCATCATCTACCTCAGTTGTATAAGTGTGGAAAACGAATTGGCCGTCCTTTAAGCTCTTTGCTTTGCTGGTAGTTGCAGCAGACACGCGACAAAGCGGCGAGAGGTTCGGAAGAGTTCCACCCACATCTTTGACTCTTCAGCTCATGACAGCTTAGACCAGATCCTCGCACAACCCTCTTCTTTCTGACCCATTTCCCTTTGCGCACTCCGTTTACTTGCTAACTGATATACCAGCACAAGGCAATTCTTAGCTTTTCAAGTCTACTTATCTATTATCCTTTATTTGAATCACAATCCTCCCTTGACTTTAGAGGTCATCGCTCAGAGCTCCCACATTAACCAGTTGTCGAACCACGCATCTCCACAATGGCAGCTGCTTCTGTCAACAGCCACTCTCAGGCTCAGTCCGAGGCCTCTCCAAGGCCAGAATATGCAGTCACTGCTTCTAAAGCAGATGGGACCCAGGGAACAGCCAACGGCGTGGACACCCTCGACAATCCTCATTTCAAAGATCTTCAGAGGTATGTAAGATTCAAGGCTGAAGCTGGCGCATCTGTTGCGATGCTGTACTTTGATTGTTCCGATCATGGAAATTGACAGCATTCTTATAGGAGCTTGCGCAATACCATGAAGAAGCTGGTGAGTCGCTCCAACACGCCAGAGAATCACTCATTCACTCGCTAACAAGCATTCGGTCTCTATGTAGAACGCAACCGCAAAAGTCGATGCTATCATCGCAGAAAACCCCGGCAAATCTCTCGACGAACTGGTTGCAGAGAAGAAGATCAACGTGGACCAGAAAGCGCAGGCCCTGAAGAAGCCTGCGCTCCAGGCCACCGTCGCTCAAATCGAGGAGCAAATCGCTCAATTCAAGAGCTTCGCCAGCCATTACGAGGAGCGCCTGAACAGCCAGAAGATCGCATTGGAGAAGGCCCACAAGGAAGAATTGGATGCTGTTCGGGAAAAGGTTCGCGCAGAGGCTACTGAGGTTCACCAGAAGGATCTCAGACAGCGTCTGCTTAGCCTGACCAAGTTCCTTTGCGCTGCCGCCGCCATGAGGCGCTCCGGTGACGAGACATCCCCCGAGAGCCGCGCATTTGAAGGTGTCCTTTACCAAGTCTACGGAGGCTCCCAGGACGCAGTGAGCTCTATGCTCAAATTAATTGACGGAGTAGACGAGAAGGTCGTCAGTGTGGAGGGAGAAACACTTGAGGTCACCTGTAAGGAAGTCCTTCATATTTTCTTGATTGAACTCGATTTGGTCCAGTTGATTAACCAGTGTGCCTTGTCTAGACGGTAAGGTGAAGCAAACATCCGAGGAGTACGCTCCTGGGGGAACCACAGAAGAGGTGACTACGGAAGCAACTGCAGCCTCTGATCCTACCTTGGCGAACGCCGCCTACACTGAACTCCAGGACGGCCCTCTTGACGCCGGTGCTACAACAGCCAACGAGATTGACGCCTCTGCGCCTAAGGCCGAGGTCCCTCCTCCCGCCCAGACTCTCGTTTCCGACGCTGCTAATCCTGTAGCCGAGGCTTCGTGGGAACAGAACGGGGCTGGCTCGCTCGAGTCGTCGGCAAATGCTGACGGCTGGGTTGAGGTGCCTCGCGACCCGGCGGAGACGGAGACAGGCCTACAGGCAACCCCTGCCTCTGTCGATACCGGTCTGAAGAACAACCCGACTGTCGCTGAGGCCTCCGGACAGAGTGATGAACATGTCTCCGTGCCTAAGGCGCAGGGCGGCGACGGATTCGAACCCGTTGTGCACCATCAAAGACAGCCTAGTGGCCGCGGTCGGGGCCGCGGTGGACGTGGCCGGGGAGATGGATTCCGTGGCCGCGGCCGTGGCGATTTCAGGGGCCGCGGTCGAGGACGCGGTGGTCGTGGCCGCGGCGGACCCAATGGGGCCCCAGCTGCAGCTCCGGCTGCAGCACAGTGATTAAATCTCAACTTCTCCGCGAGACGTTGGCATTTACCATGTGCCCCTGAAGAATAGAGATCTCTATGAGAATACTAGTCTTCAATCCCATGGTACTCGACTCCAGCGCTTCGCATTAGGTGTCGCCTTGGGGGGTTTTCCCAGGCACCACTGCTCCATTCTCCCTTTATTTTCCTTCCTTGACCATGTTGGTCTCTCCATACCCTTCTCTACCTGTCTTAATGTCCACAAGCGCATCGGTACGGCGGTGTTATGGTTGACGAAAGCGATGAGCAACTCGACGAAATTTTTACCGGGAAAAGGATTCTTGATTGCAAAGGCATGGGTTTGGGATTGTCTGGGCTCTTCTGCACCTTTGCTCTCTGGTTCTCTCTTTTGGTTGGCGATGTTACCAAAAGTCCCTCTTGTATATGTCTGGCAGTTATTGAGCGTGCATATCCTTGGTCTGATATTTTCCATCTCCTCTTTCATTTTCTGTAGATTCTATTCTCCGTTTCCGCGCCACCGGTGGATTCTGAGGGCGGCTTTTTTGCTTCTTTGTCTTCATTTCCTTTCCCTGTGTTCTACTTTACTGTTCCCCTCGAGGCCCAGCACTCCGAATTTGGGCCATGGAGCGGGGGGAGATGGTGATGGTGATAGGCAGGTCGCTATCACGGCGTCGCGGGGACATGGCCGGTCTGTCGGAGAATGGGTCAATCTTGGTGTAGATTGGGGTGTACAGCAGATGAAATGAATGGCATTCATCTCGCCAACGGCAGTCTTTTCGACTCTATATTGTAGCTTCGAGGCATCTGTAACAGTAGATAGGTCCGAAACTGGCAATAGGGCTCAGGGCTATGACATAATCTATCTGTCTCGACCTTAAATGATTACCCAGCAGCTACGGGCATCGGTGTCTCATCCTGATGGATACCAGATTGTCCCTTTTCCTTTTTCTTCTTCCTTTCGTTTGATCGAGTCACTCGTTGTCCAATCCTCATGCTCTATTCCAATTTGCCGATTCCGCGAACTTGCAGTCCGAATTGATCATCATGGCGCTGGCCGCGGATCAACGTAAGAAGATACTACGAGTGTTGATGATATCTCTCCTTCTAGACCTGGTGGGAATAAACCTGCATACCAATGGAATGATAAGGACTCTCTCTAACTGACTTATGCTAGATCTCCTTTACATTCATCCTTCCACTCTTTCCATCGCTGCTTACGTTCTATCGTTCTCAAGCCCCTTCTCCCGCCTCTCTCCTAAACCGTGTCTTCCACTATCTCAACGCGTACAAGAACTCGTTCGCAAAGCCGATCGACTCGCGGTATGATATAGTGCTCCTTGGAGGAGCGCTAGGATCGCTCTTCTCTCTTCTACAAGCCATTGCTGCCCCTTTCATCGGCCGATTATCCGACAGATATGGCCGACGGACGGCGCTGCTCTGCTCCATGGTCGGGAACACTCTGAGTGTCGCGCTATGGGTCGCCGCGACGGATTTTCGTACCTTTCTCGCCAGCCGAATCGTCGGTGGTCTAAGCGAGGGCAATGTGCAGCTGGCGCATGCGATTGCGACGGATATCAGTGATGAAAGTCAACGGGGCTCGACCATGGCGCTGGTGGGTGCTTGCTTTAGCATTGCGTTCACCTGCGGGCCGGCCCTTGGAGCCGCCTTGTCGAATATCACCACAGTGGCTGCAAATCCGTTCGCGACCGCTGCAGGAGTCTCGCTTGTCCTTATTGTCACCGAGACACTGTATCTGTATCGCTGTCTGCCGGAAACACACCCCCGATTGACCAAGCTCAGTCTTGGTCCTCTCAGAGCTGAGGACACTGCCTCCTCAACGCAAAAGAATAGCAAGCAAGCTGACGCCTCGAACCCCGATTCGACCATGGCTCACAAACACACAAATAATCCCGCACTCCTCAACCTGCTTCACTTTCTCTTCCTTCTTCCTTTCTCCGGGCTGGAGTTCTCTCTTCCCTTCCTTACCGCGACTTTTTACGCTGGAAGCACCGCATCTCCATCCGCTCTGAACGGTCGTCTTCTCTCCCTGATGGGACTCATCGCCTCTTTGCTCCAAGGGACCGTCGTCCGACATCTACCGCCACTGATGACCCTTCGCGCCGGGGTGGTAGCTTGCACCATCTCTTTCCTCCTCCTGGCTCGAGTCTCTTCGCTCGTCGGGCTCTACTCGGCCGGTGCTCTGTTGGCTGTGACCAGTGCTACGGTTGTGACCGGCCTGAATAGTCTTGGTAGCTTTGAAGCGCGAGAAGGAGAGCGTGGCCTTGTTCTGGGTCGACTGCGAAGCTGGGGCCAGGTAGGCCGAGCTGCGGGCCCACTGCTCTTCTGCTCACTTTTCTGGTGGGTCGGACGCGAAATTGCTTACACCACTGGTGGGTTCGCAATGTTGGCGGTCTGTGTGGGCGTGTTTACGACGTTGAAGTCGCCTCCTATCGGATCTGCGGCGAAGGCCGGCAAGGTGAAGGCCTAGCAGTTTTCTTTAGATGCATGTATCAAATTATTGAGCGTACATTCTTGGCATAGCTGGGTTTTTGACTGATTCATCATACTAACAACAAGCGGGACTGTTCATAAAGTTAGGCTTCTTCGATATGTACCACTAGGCAATTTCGACGGCTAGTCAGAAATTCATCATACACTCTATAACATTCGTTGCTGGGTATAATACACGTAAAGTATAAGTACATCAAAAGAGGAGATGGTGCGAATTTAAGACAGCCGACGAAGAAAACATGATCAACGCCATAGAACT